AGGATTGGGGATTATTAGTATCTTTTAATAGACATTTATAAGCTATTGCTCTTCCAATAATACCACATACATCCATTTTTGACATCATCTTCTTCTTCTTCTTGCTCTGTATCTGTGTGTGTGAGAGAGAGAGAGGGAGAGAGAGAGGGATTTTATTTAATAGTAAAACCCTGAAGTTTTTTTTTTTCTTTCATTTTCTAATTTCTCATTTTTTCCACTTTTATTTTTAAATTATTATTATTATTAGAGAAAATTAGTGAAACATTCCTCTCCAACTTTCTGTAATAGGAGATATCCAAGATATTTTTTTTAATTAGCTAAGGTCTTTCAATATTTTCACAGAGAAAATTTGACTTAAAGAAATTTCGCCCAACTTAGAAAAATCTCGAACTCGACTCAGAGAAATTTTAATTTCACAAAAAAATCTCAAAATACCTCTAAGAAATTTTCAAAAAACCTCTCTTGAGTTTGGGCCAAATTTCTCTAAGTTGAACAAAATTTTTCTAAACCGAATTTTCTCTATGAAAATGTTGAGAGACCTTAACTATTATGAAAATATTATATTTCATTTATCTTATAAAATCTTAATAGCAAGAATCTTAAAAAAAAATCCGATTATCATTATTGTTAGTATTACTATTATTATTATCTAAACATAAACATAGTTTTGAAAGGTAAACTCAATGCTACTGTGCTTAGGAACCCAAAAAAATAAAATACAAAACGACAATTTTTTTATTACCATTAATTTTGTTTTTTTTTTTTTTGGTTTTTTTGGGATTCTTCATAAATTCCTTCAAAACTCTAGCCAAATTAAAAAATAAAAAATGATACAATATTTATTTGTTTTGCCATTATTGAAAATACCAAATTTGAAAGGATAAATTAATTTGAGCAAATGAAATTTCAACTCAAAAACTAATTTTTGATGAAAATCTACAAAGTAAACCTGAAGTCCCCAAAAATATTTTCTTTTGTTCTTTCCAAACACAACCATGGTTACATTCACACACACAGA